GGCCCTTCTGTCCCTGTAGCCATTGTGCCAGAGGAAGTTTTTGAGTTTGGGTTGGAGGAGAGCCCAAATGAGATCTCTTGATGCCACCCTGGATGTCCCTGAACCCCATCGAATTGTTCCAGGATCCTTTGCTTCAGGCCTCTGTGGTGCGTCTCTGTACTGGGTATTGCCAAGGGGCTGGGATCCTTTCTCTCTGCGGATAACCTTATCACCATTGCTTTGGTGGTGTGGCGTGAGAGTGCACATGGCTCCTTTCTTGTCTTGCTCACTTTGTGTATTCTGGGCACTTCTTTACACAGGTCTGCTCCAGCTCAGCCACCCACCGAAGGGGCAGAAGGGGCTGCTCCAGGTGGGGGTCCCCCCGGCCCTCCTCCTAATCTGACCAGTAACAGACGACTGCAGCAAACCCAGGCACAAGTGGAGGAGGTAGGTGGATAGCTTCTTCTCTGAGAGTTTCCAAATTATGGAAGTTTGGAAACTTCTCTTTTCATAGAGGGGCAGCTAAAGGCTCTGGAGGCCAGGCATCCCTTAGAGGTAATGCAGGGCCAGACTTGCTGCTCGTTGCCCAGCTCTCTGGTTGGGAGCTTAGCAGCTTTGTTCCTGCGCCCCCCTCAGGTGGTGGACATCATGCGTGTGAATGTGGACAAGGTCCTGGAGAGGGACCAGATACTGTCAGAGCTGGATGACCGAGCCGACGCTTTGCAGGCGGGAGCGTCACAATTTGAGAGCAGCGCTGCCAAGCTAAAGAGGAAGTATTGGTGGAAAAACTGCAAGGTGAATGTTCTTGCCCTCTCCCCCTTCTTCTCCTGGGCCGCAAAGCACAGAAGGCAGGAAAACCCTCAGGTCCTACGTTCCTTCCCTCTCGCATCTGCGTCGTGCAGGACTCCTGGGGGCAAATCTGGAAAGCCGCCTTCTTGGGCTGCATTACCCAAGCTGGCCACCAGGGTAGGCTAGAGTACTCAAAACCACTAACTCCGGACTGGGAGACCCCGAGGAGTTTGGAGGAGTTTGGAAGCAGTTAGTCAAGCTGCTTTTTCCCAAACTACCCCTGGGGAAAAATTCTCACCTGGCCCTTCCTCAGACACACCCAACATCCACACGATGGCTAGAGTAGAGATATATTTAAATACCTGCAGCCTTTGGGAATGAGCCAAACACTTTATGATGAAAAATGAACGAGCTGGCTAAAAACTTAAAGTCTGCACCTCCACTGGAGTTCCTCTGAAAGCCTCCAGGCAACAGGAACGAGGGAGAAAGGTGCAAGCTGCAGACCCTCTGATGTCCTCGGGAAGCTGCAGCCGTGGTGCAGGGGTTTCTGCCTGGCAGGGAAGCACGAGGGGTGGGAGGCCTTCAGCTGCCCTGGGTGGCCTGCGGTTCCTTCCGCTGCCCCCAGGACAGAGGAGGTTCTCATCCCACGTCTCTAGTCCCGGCTCCTTTCCTTCTTCCCCAACTCCAACGGCTCATTTTTTGTCTGTGTTTCTCCAGATGATGATCATGCTGGGAGCTATCTGTGCCATCATCGTGGTAGTTATTGTAAGTAAGTATCGCTGAGGTTGCTGGTGGGGTGAAGAGGTGGGAAGGTCCCGGAGTCTTCTCCCAGCCCTGCCTGCCTGCCTGCCTGCCTGGGGAGTGGGGCTGCTCTGACTGAGGTATGGAGATCGCTGCCGGGGGGTCGTCATCTGGTTCTGGGGGAGGAAGGGCAGAGACCAGGGACTTGATGGACTCCATGGGAAGATGGTCCCTCGTGTTCCGAGGAAGTGGGGTTGTGCCGTTTGTCACCAGCTCGGGTCAGAGGGAGACCGTGGGGATGGGACACCTACAACAACACCTGAATGTCTAATAACCTGATGTAATTTGCCCTCTTGTTTTCTCCTGTCTCTTTCTCTTTTCCATCTGGGACCTCCTGATTCCTGTGTCCAGTCTACTTTTTTACTTGAGAATGTGCCACCCCCTCCCTGTCCTCCATTGCTACCCAAACTCACGTCCTTCTCTCTCTGTGTCTCCCCAGAACATTCCCATCCGCCTTCCTCCATCCCAGCCCTGCTTCTCCATCACTCACTCCTTCTCTTCTGTTGCTTTCATTTGCACTCTGTCCCATGACACTAGAAATGCTGCTCGTGGCACAGTCTGGAAGTCACCACCTGAAGAAGGGTGGCTGGTATCTCCTTCCTACCCTCTTGTGTTCTTTCAAGTTTCCCCAAAGCCAAAAAGGGTAGGAGCCCAAGGGGCAGGGAAGGGGTGTCGCTGAGGTGACGTGCCCAAGAAGGTGGCAGGACTGGGGAGGGAGAAGAGTGTCATGCCCATGGTGTTGCTGCTGGCTGGAGGGGGCTGAGGACAGCTGGGAGAATGCCCTGGCCACTCGGAGCCCTCCTCCTGTGCCAGGCCTGAGGAGGACCCTAGGGCAGCCTAAAGTCCAACTTGGGCCTGGTGCAAGACCCTTTATAAAGTCAAACCTGTTTTTTTGCAGTTAGTTCCAATCCGTTAGTCCAAGATTTTCTATGTCTTCAGGGATCTTACAGCCTTTTACTCTGTCCTCCAGAGACCCGGAGAACACGTATTTATAGCAAAAATACCAGGACTCTCATGCCATCCTAGAAGCAGTGCCACAGGCTCACACCTGTGAAGGGCTGTCCCTTGTCCACGTTTTCTGCAGCATCCTGTATTGTTCACAAGGGCATCAAATGATTTCCTATAGCCAGAGTCTGAGACTCTCATGTAAATTTATTCATGGGCCTAGATAAAGAGAGACTGCCTGTGTTATAGAGAAACATGAGTCTGGGGCCTTACTTGAAAATACCAAGCTCAGAGGAATCCACTTCTTGCCCTCCTGTTCTCCTGTCCTGTTGATAAAGGAGAATGTGGCACTGGAAATGAGGATCCCTGAACTCCGCAGGCATCCTTTCCTCCACACCACCCCGATGTACTGCCAAAGGCAGGGATGAGGCAAGAGGTCCTTCCTGAGGCCTGGCCGCTCCTGAGTGTTTAGAGAAGCCTGGTACCCCTGCTGACCCAGTCTTGGGGAGGAGGCGGGACAGTCCGCAGACAAGGCGTGCTCGTGGACCACTGTGCCGCCACGGGGCCTTCTCATCTAGAGTGGCCTCTGTCCTTCCAGCAGCCCGTTCCCCTCCAGAGCACACCTGCCCGTCTGAATTCCATGTTGCCTCCTCTCCTTCCCCCGTCTCTGTGTGGTTTGTGGCACAGTGGGCCCTGAGGATGGGCTTCAGGAAAGGGTACTGAGTGAGATGGACCTGGCTGAGGGGACCACCCATGTCCCTCGTCCACCTGCACTAGGAGGCTGAGGCTGGGCTGGGCTGAGCTCACTTTCCATGCAGCAGCATTTCATGACGCAAAACCATCCTTCCTCTCCCTTCGCCCTGTTCCCACATTCCCTTCGTCCTGCCCCAGGGCAGGACGGAAGAGCTGGACGAAGGCAGTCAGTGTACCCTCCTAACGGCCCCCTCGAAGGCCTCCACTCTCCTCTGGGCTCCCCCATGCCTAGTGCAGGGGGTCACCGCTGGAGAAGAACCACCACTGTCCTCGATGTGGCCTGAGCCTGGAGCAAATCCGCCCTCTGGGCCCGCCCTGCCCACCCTGTCACAGGAATCACTTCCTGGGTTTCTGTCCCTCTGAGGCTCCCCAGATGTAGCTGGCTTTGTTCTTCTGGAGATGTTAGCCCTTCTACTCTCTTTCTCAGCCCCCCAACCCCCTTCTGTGTCTGCTCTCCCCCTCCGCTCCCACCAGCCATGTGCATGAACAAATACGCAGCTAAAGCCGGGCCTCGGCAGCCATGTGGAGCCGGGCCTCCCGCAGCCCCTGCTCTGGTTTCCACTGTGTGTCTGTCATCACTTCTGTCTTTTTTCCTAACCCCAATCTCATACTTGTATAGAGTAATAAGTTGTACTTCCACCAAAGGCATGTGGCATATTTACCAATTTCCTGTATTCTAAACAAAGGCAAAAAAAAAATTACAACTTCCTACCACTCAACTGATTTGGTTATTGTTTGGGTTGGAGAGTCTGAGGCTGGACGGAGGGGGGCTGCTGTCTCTTTCCAGCTTCTCTGTGGTCTTGCTTGGGGCCAGG